GCTTTTCGGCTGGGAATCGTGGTGGTATGAGTCCGGCCCACACTCGGACCCAGGAGCCCTGCCGCTCCCGGAGAACTCGCTGCCTGGGCGCAAGGTGTTTTTCATTTATGAGCATTTCATATCAAAATTTTTTAAATGTCGTTCTTGGGGCTTCACAGTATCATAGTTAAATTCTTTCAGATGTATGCACGTATATATATGTTCTCTTACCCAGTGTAACCATCTTTTGTCACTCTAGTAAAGGTTCTTTTTTTCTTTTCCATTATTAAAACATTCTTCTTAGGGGCCAGGGATGTAGCTCAGTGGCACACGGGCCTGCCAGGCAAGTGCAAGGTCCTGAGTTCGAGTGCCGGTACCAAAAAAAAATAAATAAAACATTCTTCTTTCTGCATCTGGTCTGTGTAGAAATAATGCTCCATGAATCATTCCATAACAGGTTTTCCTCATGGGCATAGGGTATAGTTTTCTTCTTCTGTTTATAGGTGCACTGATGTCAACCCAGAGGCCGCAGCTTGTACCCTGGAGACAGCACGCTGTAATCAAGTCCACATCCAGCCGGTCATTACAGATTTGGTGAGCTGTTAATCTTTGTCCTGTAGTACTGCATTCCATGTTCAAATAAATTAAGAACCCAGGTGTTTTAGGTCAAAGAAACTTTAATAATTAACTTTTGATTTGCAGACGGTGTACCTTATACACAAATAAGTTTGTAGCTGATACGGTATCCAACAAAATCAACGTGATGTAATCAACGGAAAGGGGAAATGGGTCCTGGGCAGGTACAAGCAACAAACTGACACCTGTGGAACCATCGTTTTATTTTAAGAAGTTAATATCATGCTTTTTTTTTTTTTTTGAGACAGGGTCTTGCTTTGTAGTCCAGGCCGGTCTTGAACTCAAATGGGTAGCCCAGACTGACCTCAAACGTGCAGCGATCCTCCTGCCTCAGCCTCCTGAATGCTGGGCTTACCGGTGTATGCCACCACGCCCAGCTAACATCATGCATTTTTAAGTTGCAGTTGTTAAAGTATTTTAACAGTGCTAATAAGACTTGGAAAATGTGTTTTTGTGGGTTTTTTTTTTTTTTTAACTTATAAACATGAAAAGCCTTTTTATAAGCAAAAGTAATAGTAGCATGAACCAGCAGGCTGTAAGAAATCTGTTCTTCTTAATCGGTGTGGTTTTTCCTGCGTTAATAAGGATAGGTCACTTTCCTATTTTAAATTACAAATAATTTTGTAGCTTAGAAGGGAATTAAACCAAAGATACAAAAAGTTATTTTCATAATACTAGAAGTTGTTATTGCTAATAAAAACTAGAGTATTGGATTATGTGAATTGCATGACATGATGTGGTGATTTTAAAATTTTTAACTCATTTTCTTAGTATATAGACATTAGTATTAAGTACACGTTTTTCATAGAACAGTAAAACTTTAGCCAATAAATTCAGAATAGATGTGTTCAGAATAAATGTCTATTTTTAAAACAGATATAGAAACTGAGATGAAGTATATTTTTGAAAGCCACATAGTTAATAAAATGATAAAGCCTAGATCTTCTGAATCCAAATCTAGAAATCCCACAGAACATGACTGGTGATTGCCCGTGCCAGGATCGTTAAAGTTGACCATGATTATAGTCAATTTACAAACTCTTGGAACCGGACATGATGACTCACACCTGTAGTTCTTAACATTCAGGAGGCTGAGGCAGGAGGATCACCACAAGTTCAAGGCCACCTTGTACTACATAGAAAACTCAAGGCCAGCCTGGACTACATAGTGAGACCCTGTCCCAAAAACAATCAAAAAAAAATTTTTTTAACAAACTCTACATTTACCAGTATTCACAACATGGGCATTGATTTTTTTTTTTTTTCACAACTATTATATTTGCAAAAATTCACGGTTTTGGACAGCTGAGTTTACCTGTTTAAACAGTAACATTTTCACTATATTATATTTCTAGTTTTCGAAGAGCATCTTTGAAAGTATATATTATCGTCCCTGAGGATGTAGCTCAGTGGTAAATGCTAGCATAGCAGGCATGAGACTCTGGGTTTGAAATGACAGCATACTATGCATTTCTTTACATAATATATACTGAACTTAAATTTACCTTTTGGGGCCTTGGGGCACTTTGGTTTATTTTTGTTTTGTGGTACTAGAGAGTGATCTCAGAGCCTTTCAACTGAGCTGTCTCCTCAGCTTCTTTTTATTTTTATTTTTTATTTGTAAAGACAGGGACTCTCTTTAAGTCATCAGGTGCCCAGGCGGGGCTCAAACGTGGGTTCCTCCTGCCTCAGCCACCTAGAGTGGTAGATTTACTGGAGTGAACCACTGTGCCCAGCTGTGATTTTACCTCTTATTGATTCATCAATAGCAATTATCATTCTGTTCTATAGTAATGATTAACACCTATTAAAGTGTATCTGCTTTTACACTAAACGACTGAAGTCTGCAGTGATTTTGAGGTTTTTTTCTCTCCTTTCTTTTGCTTTGTTTTATCGTATTTCACTGCTACCATTTAGAACTTCCTTTTCATGCGCTTTGTGGAAGAAAGCTGAATAACCAACTTAGTTTGTGTTGTATTTAAATTAAGATCCAAATAAAGACTGTGTTCTGCTGTTGGATTTTAAATGTCTTTCAAGAGGCCTTTTTTCCTTATTTTCCAATTCTTGGAAATGATCCAAGGCTGTGAAAATATCCAAAAGCTAAATATGGATAGGTGAGAATGTCAGTAATTCTGAATTTATGTCTATTCCATAGTGACTTTCTTATTTAAGCCCAGTTTTTAACTCCAAGATTGTTTGCTTTTTAATATTAATTTCTCCCTTTACTTAAAATACAGTGGTACAATGATTCTCAGGGGCCATTATAAACAGTTTCAGAACAAATTCTGATTTCCTTACCCAATATTTCTGGAAAAATCATACTTTGGAATTCCTTTCTACAGTATGAGAAATTTAAGTTTTTTTTATGGAATTTGTAGACACAGTTCTTGGTTATTTCAAATGCATTCCCTCACTGCCATGCTACTACTGAGGAGAAGAATAGAGTAGTCATCTTTTGACTGAAAGACATCTAAATTACTTTCAAAAATGGTTATCTTTTCTCTTTGTAAATAAGGAAAGAAAAAACATTACTTATGTAAGTATCTCAAATATCTGACTAAAGGGTTCTTTTTGAACTCCAAATTTAACAGGCTTATTAGGATGATTAAAATGCAATTGCTTACAGAAACTTGGCTAAAATGGAAATTGTAAGATACTGATTCGTAATAATTTTTGTAAATAGCCATGTTGATGAGTCCAATACTTAGTATGGCTGTTACTAAGTGACTTTGTTTTTTTGTTGTTGTTGTTTGTTTTTTTGGTTTTTCTCCGGTACCGGGAACCGAACTCACGACCTTGCGCTTGCCAGGCAGGCGCTTTTGCCGCTGAGCTAAATCCCCAGCCCTACTAAGTGACTTTGAATCACAAAATGTAAATGCTAGAATAGTGCTCAATTTGATGTGCTTCCCTACCACACACACACTGTGGTACTAGGAGTTGAACACAGGGCCTTTACAGTGAGCTACTTTCTGTCCCACCCCTTCATATTTTTCTTTTGAGACAGGATCCCACTAAGTTGCTCCGTTGCCTAGGTTGGCCTTGAATTGGCAGTACTCCTGCCTCAGCCTTCTGGAACACTGGAATTACAGGCCTGTTCCAGCACCCATACTTTTTCTTTAAAATTTACAAATGGTCCTTTAACTGAAAGGAGATGCCTGGTTATCCCAAAACTGGCAAGAATAACTATAACATAATAGCATTTTTGTCTGTATTGATTTATTCTTAGAGTCATTTTTATTTCCAGAAAGTAATACTGGGGCTGGGGATTTAGCTCAGTGGCACAACACCTGCCTAGCAAGCACAAGGTCGCGAGTTTGATCCCCGGTACCGGAAAAAAAAACAGAATGTAATACTGACTTTCTCTTTACAGAAGTACATGGGAAAGTCTCCCTTTACATTGATTTAACAAAAAGATACATTTAAAGAACAATTCTCAGTAAACAACAGTAGGGAACTGTGGGAAAGATTTTGACAATGTTAGTAAAATAATATTTTGCCTATTGCCTTATAGTCCCTTAATATTCTACCTCAAGAAACAGCACAGAAGTAAGTCATGGATAGGAGTGAGTCCAGGGGAAAATTGAAGGACGTGGTCTGGGGGATAATGAAGGAAAACCACTTTTTACTTGGCGCTTCCTATGAAGGCACAGAATGACAAAATCAAACATGATTTTTTAGGTAGTTATTTAATTGAATCAGGAATACTTTAATGGCACACTGCTTTAAATGTACTTTTTTTAAAAAAAATGTTTCCTGTTGTTCCATAGAAAATTGTACCCAAAGTTTTTCAGAATGCATAGCATGTTTTCATTGTCTCTAAACCAGTACATTCAGCGATTTCTTTCTGTAATATTTCATTGTTTACAAGTAATTGAAGAAGTAGGAGCCAAAAGTTCCATCTCCTCATATGCCCTGTCCTTCAGATTTGTTTGTGTCATCTCATAGACCATTTGTTTTGGTTAGAAATAAATATTTAAGTTAGCAGATCAGCTATATGATTTTGTCCACATCTCTGCTGAGTACGTGCTGCAGAGTGAAAGCTCACTTCCTATTTCATCTTCCAGAAATGGCAGTCAGGTGTACACGTGTGCGGTTGAAGAGCAGAATCTGTGCTGAGCACTTGCTTATTCTAATAAGTATTTACCTTGGTTTTAGTTAAATGCATATGACCTGCATCTGAATGAAACTCGAAGGATACCATACGTCTATTTCTGTACATAGGTACAGCCCTCTTAACACTTTCGTTTCTGAAAACATGTTTTTTTTTCAAGGGCTGGGATCAAACTCAACCCTCATGCATGCTAAGCAAGCACTCTACCACTGAGCTAGATCCCCAGTGTAGTAGAGTATGTGTAAAGATTTATGTATAATTACTTAAATCTCTGTCCAGCTTAAAACTTTCTGTTGTTTATTGTTGGGTTTGGGGGGGTTTTGTTTGTTTGTTTGTTTGTTTGGGTACCAGGAATTGAACCCAGGGCCTCAGACTTGCCAGGCAGGCGCTGTACCACTGGCGACATCCCCAGCTCTATTGTTTGTTGTTTAATAAATGTAGGTCAAAGGCTTGCTACCAAGACTGAAGGAAAAAGTCGATCTTCTGGTGTTTAACCCTCCCTATGTCGTGACGCCGCCTGAAGAGGTAAGGCATGTCTGCTATTTTGTTTCTGAAATAAAATTAACTTCATCATATGCCATCAGTCAGTTGCTGCTAATACAAACTGCTCTGGTTTTGTCCTGACTGTCAGTATTCAGATACTGTTGCTACACATAGGAAAGGAGCCTAAAGCTAACAGAAATACAAACTGTGATTCATATTGGTCCTTAAAGTTCTCACCCAAATCAGATGTTTAAATTCATATGTTCATCTGTCTGCACGTTATCTCTCTCTGGATTTATCTAACCTTCATCAGGAATAACAAATTTATAAAACAAAATACTCCTTTTTATTTTTTTAATCAGCTACAAGTTCACATAGAAGTTTTTTCTAGAAGTGTCAGGTTGCCTACTTTCACAGGTATTACCAGAAAGTAGAAGATGAGATCAATTCTCACTTCAGTTAGGGAAAATAAATTACAGAAATGTGTGCTTTTTTAAAACTTAATGTAAACCATATTAACCTTTTCCCAAGAAGGTCAGGGCAGGCAAAGTTTGATAACAAAGACCAGCTTTCCTCTAATTATTGTGCTGCTTTTGTTCTCTGATGATTATTTTCTGGTGGTAACCCTTACACTCACCTCTGTGCCAAGATGGGACACATCCATTTGGCAATTATTATTACTGGTGCAATTAGGCAACCAAAAAGCCACGGCTGTATTGGCATATGAACTTGAATGAGAAGGAAGGTACTGAACAAGGTGAATAACAAAGTGCTGCCATAAGAGAATACCACTGACAGGGTAATTTATAAAGAAATGTATTCCTCATAGTTCTGCAGACAAGGAAGTCCAGTGTCAAAGTGCCAGCATCTGGTGAGGGCCTTCTTGCTACATTATAATGTGGTGGAGAGCATCACATACCAACAGTGAGCGAGCATCCATAGATTCATCATGGCGCTCCACCCCATGACCTCACCTAACCCTCTTTTCCTCCCAAGTGCCCACCTCAAAATAACATGAATATGTGGGTTTCGGGAGTGAGTTTCTCATATAAGAACTTCAGGGAGACAGAGATTTCAACCATAGCATGAAGAAAGTGCAACTTAAAACTCCTTAGGAAAGCATTATGAGAATATCAGGAGTGACAAAAATATTGTAAGCTGATAATCTCAGTCATTGAGACCTAACTTAAAGATCAACAGTGGAATAAAAGTTGAAATATACAAAAATGTTAATCACATCTTCTGATGGCAAATAATGTGAACCTGTATATATAAGAGAAGAGAGATGTGTTAAATGAATCATGGTCAATGGAGAAAAGAATCAAGTTACATCATGTACAGGTACAAATTCCCTATGACAAATGTGATCATTATGCGAACTTAAAGTGTACCAATAAACTTAATGAATAAAAGTAAGTAAATCATGGTCTATCAGATTTTCAAATCTGAATGAAGAGGCATTTCAAGGAACATGGCGGTCTGCATGAGCACTGTCTTCTCCTGTGTTCTTAGCACCAAGCTGTATGCAGCTCCCGGGCCACACACACAGGTTGGACACACAGGTGACCAAGCGTGGGCAGTGCCTTTGGGTTTTCAGTCCCAGTAGAGAGAACTGTTACCAGGATTATCTTGAGCTGAGCAACTAGCTAATGAGTAGGATTAAAATACAGCACAAGAATGATATCCTGGGGCTTAAAAACATTTCATAGAGTAAAACTTTAGGAACTAAATTAGAACAGCATGTGGTCACTGTCAAGACTCAAGTCAGTGATTTGGAAATGACTGATAAAAGAAGTGTTTAAGTATTATAGAGCATGAAGGTAAACCAGAGGAAATTGTGCAAGTAAAAGGTAAGAGATTAGATCTAAGAGGCACAGTACACAAATAACAGGAATTTGTATTTACAAAAAGTTGTGGCACGGGCTGGGAATATAGTACAGCGGCACAGCGCCAGCGCAAGGTCCTGAGTTCAGTTCCCAGTACCAAAAAGAAAAGCTGTGGCTGTATTTGCTGTGCAGCTGGAAACGTGACATGAGGTGCTGTTGCTTTACGCCTGTGTAAAGAATCAGGAGTGGACGCAATAGTTGCCCTAGTAGTCAGCAAACAGAAGGCCACCAAACAGGCCTGCACCTTGCTGAAGATGGAAACCCCCTTTTAATAGCCTGTAAGAGTTTGGTTGGTGCCACGTGACTTTCCCCGGAGGAAGCTCATAACCATGCCTGAGCGCCTTTGGGGAGGCCAGTGCCAGGTGATGTTCTCGAGGGCCGTCTCTTGGTCAGATAAACGTGACCAAGCATCCGGGAGAATCAAATCACGGAGGAGTCCTCATCCATGTGCGGCAAGAGTGACAAGACAAGCCTGGCAAAGGCAAGCCGCAGACAGTCTTATGTGGTGAATCGTCCAGAGATTGGCTTTCCCCCAGAGTAAGGGGAGAAACAAAGGGAAAGGAAGACAGGTGTCCCAGAAGAGGGAGTTCAACCCAGGACAAAAACAAAGGGGGAACCAAGAAAAGGAAGTCCCAGGACCAAGGTTTTCGTTAAAAAAAAAAAAAATGGGGAGGGTACTGATAAGTTTCTCCATATGACTAACACTGTAGAAAAGTGGGCCAGGGATATAGCTCAGCGGCACAGCGCCTGCCTGGCAAGCGCAAGGTCCTGAGTTTGATTCCCAGTACCAAAAAGAAAAAGGAAGTTATAGTGAATGGAGTATATGATAGATGTACGAATAGAATTAGACTCAAAGAAAATTAATCAGACACAGTGAATGCCAACAGCAGTTAAATAAAATATGGTACTTTCCGCTATAAAATCTTATACAACCGTTAAAAGAATGAATTAGACTTATACTAGATTTCCATAAGATACCAGTTAGTGATACCAGTTTCTATAAGATAACAGTTGCATGAGATGCAGGTAAGAATATGGACTCTATCTTTGTAAAATACGGTTATAAAAGAAAACTGGTGCATGTAGAAGATGACAGACACATAATCAAAACGTGCAGCTTTTTAAAAAAGCAGCTGTAGAAACATTTTGCTTTGTAAAATTATATGTGCATATGATTATAGATATAAAAGAAAATGGGGAATTTTTGCCCTACTAAGTGAATAAAAGAAGGCATGATTATATATAAATAATAAACTAAAATATGGACAAAAGGCATAGAAGAAAATAGAAAATAGTCATGTCAAAGTTGAAGTAATTTTGACTGATTACTTCAAAGTATTCTTTAATTTTGAATATAATATATAATGATATTTATATATTTTATTTCTGTATAGATTCCAATACAAGCTTCTTTCTAATTCTTCTATAGTAAGTATAGAATTACTCATGTCTCTCAATGTAAGCATTTTATTAATAGTAACAACTATTAAGTCCTCAGTGTGTGCAGTGTTTTCAAAGCTTTATATTTCCTAACAGTTGACTAAAAATGTTTTCATAATTTTTTCCAATTATAGAGATTGAACTATTACTTTTCTAATTATACAGATAAAGGAAGAAAGTAATTCACAAAGGCAGTTATGACTTTGCCCAAGATCGCAGAAACTAGGAAACTGTGGGACTTCAGTTCCACCTTACTCCCAGCAGTAGAACACTAGATACATGCGTGTTTGGTGCTGAGCTGTGATCTAAGTGCGACTTGAGTCAGAGAGAAACTGTCTTTGCAATTGGTCACAGGTAGGAAGTCGTGGAATAGAAGCCGCTTGGGCTGGTGGCAGAAACGGTCGAGAAGTCATGGACAGGTTCTTTCCGCTAGCCTCAGATCTACTTTCCCCGAGAGGACTGTTCTATTTAGTTACCATAAAAGAAAATAACCCAGGTAATACAGACCACCTTATTGTTTAACCGTTTACTTCACTGAAAACAAACGTTAATAATGTAGAAGACTGTAATTGATAAAGTGATGTGGGATATTAATGAACTTAGTAACTGGCAAGACAGAAATGCATGTTGAAAACGGAGACAGATTTTTAAGAGGTAAACTTTTTAGGTTTTAAAAATATTGTCATCTTCAGCCAGGCGTGATGGCACATGCCTATAATCCCAGTACTCAGGAGGCTGAGGCAGGAGGATCTCTGTGGGTTCAAGGCCAGCCTGGGCTACCTAGTGAGTTCAGGGTCAGCCCGAACTATGTAATGAGACCCTGTCTCAAAAAACCAAAAATTTAAAAATAAAAATAAAAGTGTTATCTTCATTTTTGGAGTGAGTACACTTTTTCCACTCATAAACTAATATTCAAATACAAACTCTGAGTTCTTCTAACACTTCACCCTCAGTATTGTAAATTTTTTCTCTGCACTCATGCCCTTGGCAACTCTGCCACATGCTCTTTCGCTCACCTGGAATTCTATCACGTAAGTGCTGTTGCTATATAGGTGTTTGTATCTTCGCTTTCACATTACTTTATAACTTGACAATGTAGTCTCTCTTTTTCTGTATACTTCAAATTTGATTTTTTTTCCTGTCCTCAGCCTCCCAGATCATACGATCATTGTGATTACTACTTTTCTTCTTTTTTTTTTCTTTCCTTCTTTCTTTTTAACTGCATTTTCTTGGTTCAGTCTTTTTTGTTTTATTTATGTGTAAAAGGTTTTGCTTTTGTAAGACACCCAAAGAAGTAAGCTGCCTCTTTTTCATTGACCTTCAGTGGACAGTGTTGGCATTCATTTGCACCTTCCTTGACCTTTTTCATCCAGAGGGAAGGGTGCAGAGCAAAGCTTAGGCCAGACAACTAACAAATGTATCACTGGCAGGAATAACAGTTGTAGTTAATGTTTCTGTTTGCCCCAAGGTAGGCTACCGATGAAACCCAGCCCCTCGGTCTGTTACAGCCCTCAGGCCTCAGAAACAGCTGAAAAGTAGTGTTCTCATCTGTCTGAAGTTCATGTTTGCTTTAATAGACATTTACTTGAGTTACATTATTTGTCAGACTACTGTAGATTGTGTCTATCTTATTAAAATATTTAGTGATCTTACACGTCACCAAATGATATAGTTAATTTAACCTTTTTTAAAATTCTCATTTAGAAGAAATTTTGAAAACATTGAAGACAAAAGGTCTGCATGGGACCACTGCACTTTCTAGACAAGCAGGTCAAGAAACCCTGTCCGTCCTCAGGTTCACCAGGTGCGAGTGTACGGAGGGCTAGCGCACGTGTGCCAAGAGCTCTGGGAACTGAGTGCCCTCGGCATATTTTGAAACTGACGTCATTCCTCAGTGAAGGAATTTTATCAGAAATTCGCTGTCAAGAAAGAAGTGAGAAGATGGTGCTCCTTCTCACCAGGAAATCAGGCTTACAGAAACATTTGTACATGTACAAGTAAGTACGTGTAGTATATTTATAATTTTAATATTATATATAAATTAGATAAGAAAAGAGTCTCATTTCAGCGTTAATTCTAATAGCAAAACCAGGGAATCAGCCTAAACATATCAGGAAGCAAATTGGTTAAGATAAATTACACTGTGTCTGTTTGACTAACGACATAGCCGTTAAACGCGAGTCAGGTCTGTCCTGAAGCAGAGGTGATCTCTGATACACCACTGGTGGAAAAGAGCGAGTTGCAGAAGTTTTATGCCGGGGGGTATAGCTCAATAGTAGAGCACTTGACTGCAGAAGTTTTATACTGTGTATGTATTTTTTAAAAAACAATAGAGACCATGTGTTTGTGTGTGTATATAAACAATAAACTCTCAAAAGATAACAGGAATGAAAGAACTTTTACTCTTTTATGGTAGCGTTTATATGTGTTCAGTGACAGAGAATGACTGTCGTTGGATGATGAAGCTTAACCAAATGGTTCCAGCTGCGGCTGGTGTAACAGATGTGGTTTCACGGAGCAAATTAGCACAGCTCCTGGTGCCGGTTACTGTCTGGCAAATGGCTTTTTCTCCATACCTGTGCATAAAGGCCCGGCAGTACACCTGCACTGTTGTACCTCAGGTATTATCTACTCTCCAGCCCTGGGTCATAATATAGTTGCAGGGATCCTAGTCACTTTCTCAACTTACTGTTCAGATATTTTTCTGTAACAGGGTAGGAAACCTGATTAAATTTGGGGGCCTTCTACAATAAATTAGGGGAGCATATTGAGACATCCCTTCTAAGGTAGAGATAAGTACTGTACCTGAAAAAGTTTTAAAAGTACTAACTGTGCCTGCAATAAAGAAGTAGACTCTCTGGGGTTTTAGAGGCAACAAATGCATATTTGGTGTGTTACTCTAGCCCGTTCACCAAGTGTCCCAAAAAGTTGCTAATTTTTTGAGTTGGGCCCAGAAAAGAGTGGTGTTTGAACTGCTGGAGACTGCTGTACGGCTGCTCATCCACTTACCTGGGAGATCCAGCAGATCCAGGGCTTGAGAGTCAGTGGCAGATAGGGTGCTGAGAGCCTTCGGCAGCCTCTACAGGGGGGTTGCAATTGCGGGCCTCTGCGATTTTGGAGCAAGACCACGCTAACGCCACAGATAGCTACTCTCCTTTGAGGAGATCTCTTAGCCTTCTGCTAGGCATTAGTTCATTCTCAGTACTTAGCCATGAGTCACCCATCATGAACTGGATATGATCTGACCCACCAGACATACAGTTGGTGTGCACAGAAATTCTCCGTCAGAACAGCAGAAAGAAACTCTGATCCCATGGAAATCATATGGTTGGGCCTCAGCAAGGTGCGAAGAGAAGTGACCCCTCTAAGAAGGGAGGGGAAAGAAGAGTAAAAAGGATTAAGATGCAATATGTATCTGTACCAGCTGCCCTAGATAAATGTATTCATTATGTGTCACAAATGTACTAATAAAAAATTTGAAATCATGAAAAAAATGTCTTACACTGAAATTTTCAAAGACAGATACTACATTTTCCACCTTTTTTAATCCCCTAAGAGCAATGCATGGCATATGGCAAATAATTATAAAACATTTCTTGAGGTTTTTTTGTCTTTTTGAGAGGGTCTCCCTATGCATTTCAGGCTGGTCTTGAATTCACTTTGTAGCCCAGGCTGGCCTCAAACTCGTGGCAGTCCTCCTGCCTCAGCCTCCCAAGTGCTAGGATTACAGGTGTGTACCACCACGCCCGGCTCTGGAGTTACTGTTATTACTACTCCTTTCTTTCTGTTCTCCAAGGTCCCCTTCTGTCCCCAGTCATTTTGCCACATTCCCTAACTGACCTGCAGTGGTTCAGAAGACCACTATAAGAGGGCCTCTTTGCAGGCTCCCTGAACAGTCCCGCTTGGCGTGAAAAGTCAGACCCCAGAGGCCTTGAGGACCTTGGTCCAGTGTTTTCCTGCTTCTTCCGCTTGTACCCGGTCATCCAGACTGTCCAGCCTCAGAGTTCCTTTCTGTGTCTCTGGTGAGGCATTGCTTTGCTACTGCACAGCCAGAGTGAAATCCCATCCGGAATGGTGACCAGAACAGAACTCAGCAAAGCCACTGCCTCCCACTCACCAGAACATCCTCTGCGCTCTAAGCCATTTTGTCAACCTCAAGAGATTTGTAGTCAGAACTAACAGGAACCAAAGGACAATAAAGCTCTTTTAACCATTGACCATTTATCAACACAGTTGCCAGATCCCTTAGTACCTGTTCCTCAGGGCAGAGCCTGGGAAAACTATAGTTGTATTAAATCAATTTTTTTAAAAATCTGACTTCTCTTTTTAAAAAAAAAAGCAGCCCCTACCTCTGCTACACTGCCTTCTGCTTCCCGGCCTGCACCTATGACCTCATGGGGAGTTCCCATGCTCCGCTGACAGCATACTGGAGTCTTGTTTTCAGATGATGCTGTGGCCCGTACCCCCTCTCTGGGATACCACTGAAGGACACTGGTGAAGAGGAATCTTTTCCAGCAGAACTTGCACCTAGTTTTTCACTTTATTTGGAGGGGAAATGGTCAGATACACGATTATACCAGTCGTGACTGGTCATTAGTTTGACTGCATGGTCAGGGACTTGCAAGAAATATGACTGCAAATTTGGTGACAGACATTTGAAAAAGAGGTACGTGCATAAACCTGTCTAAATGGGCAAAGGAAATATGAATGGGTGACTTCAGCAGAGGAGGACTTTAATCAAGTAGATAGGATGACCCATTCTGTGAATAGTGGCCAACATCTTTCCAAACCAATCCGGGCATCCCACTGGATTCATGAAAAAAAGTGGCCATGGTGCTGGAGATTGAAGTTAGGCATAAGCTCAGCAATACGGATTTCTGTTTGCCAGGGCTGATATGGCTAAAGCTACCTCTGAGTACACAGTGTGACAGCAGCAGAAATCAACACAGAGCCTCTGATACAGCACCATTCCCTGGAGTGGTTAGATAATTACTCTGATGTGTGTCGGCCTTCCCTACATGCAGCGCTTCTGCCAAAACTACCATCCATGGGCTTAAGTGCTTCGCCACCCACTGTGGTATTCTGCACAGCATTGCTTCTCAGCATGGAGCTCACTTCACAGCAAAAGTGGCAGTGGGCTCGTGCTAATGCTATTCACCGCTCTTTCCATGTTCCCCACCATGCTGAAGTGGCTGGCTAACTACAACGGAATGGCCTTTTGAAGACAGTTACAGCATTAGCTAGGTGTTAATGCCTTAAAAAGCTAGGCCAATGTTACGTGGCTTAAGTCACGTTTAAGTACATGGAATATGTCATCCTTATTTTGCTATGAATGTTACTTTGTGTATATACATATGTTGTTCTTTTAGTCTGAGACAGGGTTTTGGTATGCACTTCAGGCTGGACTTGAACTCACTTTGTAGCGGAGGCTGGCCTCAAACTCACTGTGATCCTCCTGCCTCAGCCTCCTGAGTGCTGGGATTACAGGCATGAGCCACCACGCCTGGATGTGTTGTTCTTTTTTATTCCCTTATCATGTTAGATATATTTTATTCATAGCACAGCATGTAAGTATCATTAATTCTACAACATAATATTTAAAATTTTAGGATATCAAGGGAAAGAATGAACACTCAAGGACTTTACCTCTTCTGGAAGAGGACTTACTATTTTCTCAGTTCTAGAGATGATAACTCTTGTCATGTTAGATGGAATTATAATCTTGTTATTGCCCTTGTTGGAGACGAAGTATGGTTTGTTGGTCATTAAGCATAGTTTAGTGATCTGTGTATTGATGACAAATTGGCCTGGGGTGGACCTGTGATGGTTAATTTTGTATGTCAGTTTCAGTAGGACACAGGGTGCCAGACAGCTGTTCAAATATTGTGTCTGGTTATGTGAGGATGTTTCCAGGTGAATTAGATATAGAATACCTAGTAGAACATCCTCATGGTTTGGATCTGAAATATCCCTCCCAAAGCCTAGCGTTGAGGGTCACCAACTGATGGTGCTATTGGAAGGCGGTAGAAATTTTAGGAGGTGGGGCCTAGCTGGAGAACGTAGGTCATTGCAGTCCTGCCTTTCCAGGGGACACTGGGACCCTGCCCTCCCCCAACTAGCTACTATGAAATAAGCGGGTTTCTCTACCACGTGCATCCCACTGTAATGTTCTGCCTCACCACAGGCCTAAAAGCAACGGCACCCACCAAGTATGGACTGAAACCTCAGAAACTATGAGCCGGAATAAATCCTTCCTCCTTTAAAGTTGTTATCTCAGGCGTTTTGTCATAGCAATGCAAAGCTGACACATACATAATTGATAAAAAAAAAGTTTTAATTTATGAGTAATTCTAAAACAAAACATTTAAAATCTTACTGAAACTCCAAGCATTGAGACTTATTTTTAGCACTTTTTGCATGTTATTTTGTTCATATTTTAAAACTAGAATGAGATAGCAGTTGACAAATTCTATTCGTATTTTTCCTTATATGAAATCACTGCAAAAAAAAAAAAAGAAATCACGGGAAATTTTTCATGTAAACAAGTAGATGAAAGAAGAGTTCCACAGTGACTCAGTTTGTTCCCTCATGTCACTATATTCCTAAAATTCTTCTGAGTAATAACGGCAAGAGTAAAATAAATTTTAATGATTTATTGGCTGACAGACTGATTAGACTTTGACTGCAAGCAAAGGACTGAGAACCAGTGAGTTGCCCAAAAAAAACAAAAAGGACTTGTTAGACATTACTGGATTCTCTTTCTCAATATAAGTGTGATCAAAATTGGATCAATTTTTAAAAATGTATTAAAGTAAAGGAAACATTACTATTATCTCCCTCAATATGCACTTGTTTCATTTATTTTTGCCACTTTCTGAAGCAATTCTAGGAGACCTTTTTTGTGTCTCTAGTTGTGCGATTGTGACTGCTTTGATGTCCTAAATGGGTTCAAAATATTTACCTTTTATGGTCCATTCTGACTCTGGGGAAGAGCCAGAAGTCACATGGTGCCAGATCCAGTGAGTAATGTTTTTTACAAGCCTGCCTTTCTGTTGGATGGTACTCGGCGGTACATTTTTATCATACACAAGAACTTGAAGAACTCCTTCAGAAAGTAACAAGAACAATAGGATAAATGTTTAAAGCGGGGGGAGCATTTTGAGAATTAATGGCAATGTCTTTTACTGTAATAAAATGTTAAAAATTTAAACAGTTGTATATTTTTGATCACACCACAGACACTCTTTCAAATTACCTTTCTAAAATTAAGGGTTTTGCTTTTCCCGCCTTCAACGTTGTAAAATTGAGTGGGTAAGTTGCATCTTTCTTTTGAAAGACAAGGACATATGTGTAAAATCAGGTGAGAAAAGTGAACCAGCTAAAGAAAA